GATGGTTGTGATGGTGGTGGTGGTGGTGGTGATGATGATGATGATGATGATGATGATGATAAAGAAGAAGAAGCAGAAGAAGAAGAAAGAGAAGACCAAACTTTTTTCCCCTGATCTGTTGTCAACCATACTGAAGAATAACTCAGAAGGCTCTGGGAAATTATGGTTTGTAACACCTATGTTCAAAAAGTGCTGGGGGAATTTTGTGATTTTTTCAGAATAAAAGCATGAAGAAATATCTGAAACTATTTGTGGGATTTACTTTTCTTATCAACTTTTCTTTGTTATCCGTTTGATTAGATCATCCATGTGTCTTTTGACTTAGAGCGATCCATCCTGCCCTTTTTTAGAGCTGCCCCGCAGGATGATGAAGATCAGAGCTTGAATGTAAAGTGGGATGATTCATGGCAGCTACACATGCGGCTGCATATACAGGCCAGGCCACAGTCTATTGTGCTGAATACAGTCTTACCTCCACGTTATTTAGATCAGCTTGCTTTGTTTTGTGATTGGTCTCTGGGAAGTAAATATGGGTGTAATTTGCAAGTCTGATTATTGTGGTATGGAGTTCTGAAAGAAATGTATCTCTGTAGGGAAAATACTGTAATGGCAGGAAATACACATTTTTCTTCCTGGGTGTTTTCACCTTGAGAGGTTGTGCTTCCACTGCCATTGTTCTTGGGCAGGCCTCTTTCAGTAGGCTCTACTTCAGAAGGCCTCTCCCTGTCTTCACCTTACTTCCAGTGATGCCAGCTTCTGCTGCTCTTTCTGAGCACTTTTCAGACTGGTAAGGCACCAACATATGATTAAGACAAAAAGCAGTCTGACTATTTTCCTTTGCACCACTGTTGCCCGTTTACACTCTCCCTGTGGGCCAAATGAAAGGGCTGCAATACCAATTGGCAATAGTTGGGAACTTTTGGTGGCAATTCTCCAGGTGCTCATCCATCTCAGCCCTGGAACTGGGAAAACAGTGGTGCCTAAAAATAGCATCCTTTCCTGTGGCTGTCCTCTTTACCACCACCCCCAGCAGATCACAGCCTTGCACATGTAGCACAACTATGTGGGATACCTAATGGGCTGAGCAGGGTGTTTCATCCAGTGGAACCTGGTGACTCTGATTTGAGAGCCACCAAAGGCACAGAACTCTCCCCCTCAAATATGTTCAGTACAGTACCTTGAACAAGTTTTGGCCAAAACCCAGAATGGATTTACTACTCCCCTACCAAAGAAATTGGTCATGCCTCTGGAACTACACATGCAATGATTGCCATGAAAGCATCCCAATGTTGAATTCTCTCAAAATGAACTGAGTTATATGTTAAGTCCCCTATCATGCATGCGATCACCACATGAGTTTGTTTGTGTATTTATTTATTTATTTGAGACAGGTATTTTTCTGTTATATACAGTGGTATTTCGACTTACGAACATCTCCACTTACAAATATTTCGAATTACGAATAGCTCCGGTTGCAAAATGTTGCTTCGACTTGCGAACGGAGCTTCGACTTACGAACATCTCCACTTACAAACTTTTCGAGTTACGAATGGCTCCGGTTGCACAATGTTGCTTCAACTTGCAAACGGAGCTTCGACTTACGAACAAAAACAACAACCCTTTCCTGCCCTTTTTTTGACCTAAGTTCATCTTAGGTCAAAAGAAGAAAAAATTTTTAAAAAATTCTCCTCCTAGTGGTAGAGTACGGATTAACCAGCATTGCATTAGTTCCTATGGGAACTAATGCCTCTGCTTGCAAACAGCACCTCGACATAAGAACGAAAAACAGCCGGTACGGATTAAATGGTTTTCAATGTATTCCTATGGGAAACCTTGCCTTGACTTATGAACTTTTTGACGAAATGGTTTTCAATGTATTCCTGTGGGAAACTTTGCCTTGATTTATAGAACTTTTCGACGTATGAACGCTGTTCCAATATGGATTAAATTCGTAAGTCGAGGTGCCACCTGTAGCAGTAGTAGTAAAGAATCAAAACTGTCATAGGAATCAGCAGTAGTAGTAGTAGTACTAGTAGTAGTAGTAAAGAATTAAAACTGTCATAACAATCAGTGAATAGCTATCAGCTCAGCTAATCAACTAAATACCAGCTGAAGTAAACACGTCTTGCCGCCCTTTCAAAAAGCATACTTTCTCATCTCATTTCACAGTCTTGGGGCCACCATCATTAGGGCCCTGCTCTTAGTGATCACTGTTTTCATTCAGATGGGGAAACATGTGCTCAGGGCTGAACTACAGCTCCCATTTGTCACTGGTCACCTTGTGTCACATGATGGGCATAGTTCCATCTACAGTTTTTTTAAAAATATATCAACATTTATTATTTTTGTTACATTTATACTTCATCTTTCCTCTGAGAAGCTCAATGTGGCATACATGGTCCTTCTTCACATTTTTATCCCCCAAACTACTCTGTGAGGTAGATGAGGCTATGAGAGATTTGCCTAACCCTTGCTCATCTGTTGACCTTTCTGCCAAGGTTCGCATTCTCTTGCCCTTGAGTAGCTGTAGCGTTCACCCTCCTCATAAATATTTATGTTGAAATTTGCATGCACCAAAAGGAGTCAGTGGGGGTGGAGTTAAGTGGGGAGTGAAGAAAAGGAGGGAGGGGGGGACTAAGGTAAGCGGTTGAGAGTAGAGAAAGAAGGTTGTTTTAGTTGAGAGTTAATGACATTAACTGAACTGTTATTACGTGTAACAATAAACAATTTCTACCTGGTTCTTAAATGATATGTCGCTTGGACCTCTGTCATTAATAGTGAACAATGTTGATGTAATCAACTGATGGCAGCTGAATGACACATAACGTGTGCCTTGGTGAAACAACCAAGGGCCATGTGGGAATGTGACAGTAGCCTTGTTGCCAGAGAGATACTGCACTGTTGCCACAGTGAGAGAACAACCAAGGGCCATGTGGGAACGTGACAGAGAGATACTGGACTGTTGCCACAGTGAGAAATAGATTATTTCCTGAAATGCCTGAATATTGTCCCATCCCCTTGCTTCCTTGGCAATTCCTAGTAGAACATGGAGGAAGTTGCTTTTTGGATGATACCTCCCAAAGTCCTCACAGTGGGGAATTCTGGGAATTATTTGCCAGAACAAAAAAAGGCAATATTTCCAAGTTCTGGTTCTGTGTAATTAAATGTACCCTTATCTTCCGCTGAAAGGTAAAATCTATTAGTCTAGACAAAACCCAAAGGGCAACATATATTTGACTGACAGTGGAAAAGGAGGGGGAGGGGTTAAGCTTTTCATCAAGAGCGAAGCTGTCTCCTCTCCCCTCAATGACTAAAGAGATGCAAGTCCAAAGTGACATGTCCAATAAACCTCAGACATTCCCAAAAATATTTCCTCTGGCCTAATGGGCAGGCATGAGAAACATCTGGCAGAAAGCAGCCTTGTCAAAAAAAGGGCAAGGTTTTAAAGGAAAGCCTCTCAGGGGGCCTGGCCATTCCCTCAGCTCTGCAAATAACCGCTCAGGCCACTCAGTTCTTCAAGAAATCCCATTCCGACACAGCTTCGGCAGCCGAATGGAATGCGCTTGCTTGATCAACAGTCCGCTCCCGCATCTGAGCAAAGAGCAGGAAATGAGGAAATGAAAACACACCTCTTTTTCTAGTCCCCATGGGTAACACTTTCCTACTTTTCTCCTCACTTGTTGCTCCGTTGCTGTAAGTAAGAATCACCTTCTTTGCTAAAGTTTGGTAATTACTCACAGTTAACAGCCAATGGTCAATGACTTGTTATATCAAGATGTTTTAGTGCCTAAGTAATCTTTGGGGGGGGGTAGGGAAGTGTGCTGGGCACGTCTTCACATTCTCTTCTCAAATTTCATATATTCCTTTTTGCACCCCAGCTCTTTCTTCTACAGTGGACCCTTGACTTACAGACGCCTTGACTTACAGACTTTTTGAGACTTCTCTGGCCGCAAAATTTAGGTTTGACTTGCAGACTGAGATTTGACTTACAGACCAGAAAAAAACCAAAATGGAACAAAAACGGCCTGTTACGGGATTAATCGGTTTTCAATGCACTGTAGGTCAATGGAGACTTGACTTACAGACTTTTTGACTTGAGAACCGCCTTCCAATACGGATTAAGTTTTCAAGTCAAGACCCCACTGTATAAACCAATGTCTCCATAACTGGTTTGGGGACAGGCCTTGTTCAGCTTCACTTTATTGCACCCAAAGCCTGGAAAAGTGATGTTTTGGATGTCAGCTCCCAGAATACCCATCCAACATAGTATTGGGAAAGGGTCCAAGACTGCCACTCTTAACAGATCAGGGTGAAGAGTCCACAATGAATGTGTGTGTGGGGTGTGTGGGGGTGTGCAGAGAAAGCAACATTAAACACTACTGCATATGGAAATGGAACAGAGTGGTACTGCCACACTTGCAGAAGCAGGTGAATGAAACAGAATGAATATTCCAGTACAGTTCTTGCATTTCACATGATGACCCGACTAAGAACATAGGAAGAACCAAGATGGATCACATCATAGGTCTACTTTGTGGGAAATGAATTTGTGAAAATCAGCTTATGCCTGAGAAGACACTTAACTCTGCATGAGGAAGAGTAGAGAGAGAAGACGTCAGGTGTCCTCAACTGTCCTTTACTTGCTTTGCTCTGTGATGACCTTCCTTAGATTTCTATGCTTAGGGTTGCCGGTTGCTGGTATCACTTCCTTCCTTCACACAACTCTCCCTTGTCCTTCCAAGGAGAAGGTATCTTGCCTTTGTTCTCTAGAGGTGAAAGGGGCAGCTGTGGCTCTTGACATCTCCCCCATCCACCCAGTTTGTTAGCACTCAGATGTCTATCACCTTTCCTATCCAAACTGTATTTCTCTAATAAACAAAAGCTTTCTTATTTTCTTAGGAAGAAGTGTGGATGTGATTTCTTTACTGTGAGGGTTCAATCTTAGAATTAACGGTCTCCACAACAAAATCATGAGTTGTCTTCAACTTTGAAACAGGGGTTAGGTTTATTGGGGTATTTAACAAAAAGTCATTATCAAGTACGTTTTTCCATAATTTCTCTCCCATTGCCAATGGGTCAGATAGGGGTACGTCAGTGTGGTCTGTACCTCCCTCTCCACATCTGGAACAGATGGCACTCTGGCGAGAGCCTCTTTGCTCTCATCCTGGGTCTCATTCACACACACATCCAAGAGGGCCCTCCTTTCCTCCTCACTCTTTGCCCAGGGACCCTGTCAGGGAAAATGGTCAAAGTTAGCATGCTCACTTCCCTTTTGGTACTGGACCGTAAAAGCGAATGGCTGCAAGGCCAAGTACCAGTGAGTGAGCCTGGGGTTGGTTTCTTCCATTTGTACCAACTACTGCAAAGGGGCATGATCTGTCACCAGCATAAACAGGGCACCTTGAAGATAGTACCTCAGTGAATGGGTAGCCCAGCATATGGCTAGAGCCTCTTTTTCTATGACAGCATACTTCTGTTCTCAATTTCCAGATGAGGTACAAGACAGGATATTCCACACCATTCCTCACCTGGGATAACACTACCCCCACCCCCTGTCCAATGACTCTGTAAACAAAGTGAAGGGAAAGTTAAAGTCTGGGGTGAAGCGAACTGGTATTTCGCATATGATGGCCTTACGGGCCTGGAAAGCTTCTTCTTGTTTTTTCCCCCATTGGACCCATCTGCAGGCTCTCTTATGAGTTAGGTCAGTGAGAGGATTGGCTATGCTTGCAAATTGGGGTACAAATTGACGATAATAACTCACTTGTCCAAGGAATTGCTGTACCTCTTTCTTAGTGCGAGGGCGATACCATTGTGAAAATTTCTCTTCTTGTGGTTGTATCTCTCCTTTACCTACTTTGAAATCCAGGTATTCTACTTTGGGCAGGGCTATTTTACATTTCTTTGGGTTGACAGTCAAGCTTACCATCCTCAGCTCTAACAACATCATTTTAAGATGCTCTAGATATTCTTCCCATTACAATACAAAACGATGTCATCAATGTATGCATCAGCGCAATCTCGTACGGGCTCTAAAACGTTGTCCACAAGGCTTTGGAAGGTTGCAGCTGCCCCATGCAGCCTGAATGGCATTTTCACTAATTGGAATAGCCTCTTTGGGGTGCAAAAAGCAGTCTTTTCCCTATCCTGTGCCCTTAAAGGGATCTGCCAATATCCCTTCGTGAGGTTGATTGACGACAGGTACCTGGCACCCCTAGCCCATCTAATAGATCACCTACTTTTGGCATAGAGTAGGCGTCAAACTTCAAAATCACATTCACTTGGCTATAATCTATACAAAGACAGACTGATCCATCTGGTTTGAGCACTACCACCGGGTACTGCGCCATGTGCCCTTAGCAGGTTGAATCACCCCTAGTTTCAACATCTCGTTTACCTCCTGTTCAATAACCCCCACCAATTGTTGAGGCCATGATCTGCCTGAGGATTGGATCACTACTCCTGGCTTGGTTTCAATGCAGTGTTGTCCCCAATGGGTACATCCAGGGTTTTTAGAAAAAACACCCAGGAACTCTTCAGTTGTCTCACCTGTCCTCTTTGGGCTGGGTCTACCTGCTTATCTATCTCTACAGAGGCCTCTCCATCCTCTGTCCCTCCCTCTGGTACGAAGTCGTCATCTTTTTCACAGCTTCCAAATAGGCATTCTCTATCTACCCATCCTTTCAGGAGGTTCACATGAAACACTTGCAGCTTCTTATTCCTATCATTTTCACTTCATAATTAACATTACTGATTTCCCTGGCAACCTCGTAGAGCCCATGCCATTTAGCAAACAATTGAGAGGTGTCGGATGGAAGTAACACTAGCACTTTTTGACCCAGTTCGAACTCACGGGGTCTCACTTTCCTGTTGTATTGCACCTTCTGCCCTTCCTGGGCTTTACCCAGATTTTCCTTGGCTAGCTCCCAAGCTGTGTGTAAACTATTCCCAATGTCTATAATTTGCTGTAGGGCATTCTGGGAATGATATTTTCCCTCTTCCCATTTTTCTCTTATCAGATCCAAACCCCCTCTTGGATTTCTCCCATACAACAGTTCGAAGGGCAAAAACCCGGTGGAGGCCTGGGGTGCCTCTCTTATCACAAACGTCAGGGGAGCTAAGAAAGTGTGCAATAGCTTGCGCTTTTTGATTGCCAATTTTCTAAGCATCCCCTTTAGCGTTCGGTTGAACCTTTCAACCAAGCCATTGGCTTGTGGATGGTAGACAGAGGTTTTCATTGTTGTCACCCCCAGCATTTCCCACATCTGTTTGAAAGTCAAGCTCATGAAGTTGGACTCTTGGTCTGTCAGCACCTGTCTTTGCTAAACCCCACACTTTGCTCTCACCCCAGGTCTCACATTTACACAAGGGGAAATGTGCTCGAGTTATCTTTCTGATTCTCAAAGAGCTGAATCTACAAGTTAACATTGTTCCAGTACCAGCATTCTTAACTGAGCATTCTATTCCAAAGAGACCAATCAGCTTCCTACAGAAGCCCACAAGCAAGTTGTGAGCAGGTTGCAACTCTCAACTGTTTTCCTGAGTAGGAACTGTGAATCCTACCTGTTCTGCTTCTGATTTTAGGAGCAGTTTATAGCTATCACGACCTGCTTGAATATTCCCTGACTGTGTCTAATCCCATGGGAGAGCAATAGTTGTTGTTTGCTACTGGGGTGTGAGTGGGTGGGGAGATACTAAAGATGTGATGGGCTGGGACATAATAAAGGAAGTCACAGTCTCTGAGTTCACAAGCCCTGAGCAGGGCTGTGAACAAGAGGACCTTTAGAAGGTCAGTAATTCAGAGGAAAACTGGAAAATGAAGTTTTAGTAGACAGGGAAGAAACCGATACAGCCATGTCACTAATTTATTTATTTATTAGATTTCTATCGCACTCATCTAGACCAAAGGTCTACTTCTGACTCTTTAAGTCAGAAACAACTCAACAACACATAAATAAGTCAAATAAATAAATAAATAAATACACAGGGTTTTTAAAATTGTTGTCAAAGGGTAAGTGTGTTAGTTTGTCCAAGCAATATAGGTGAAAATTAAATGAAAATGAAAAGCAATACAAAGACAAATAAAAAAGACTAATAAAATTTAAAAAGTAAGAAACAAACAAACTAACAAACAAGATAAATATGCCTGATGAAGTGGGCTTGTCCATGAAAGCTCACATTAAAAAAAATATAGAAGTGAGTCTTTAAGATGCCACCATATTTTTGTCTCTTTTTTTACTTTTTTTAATTTTATTTTCACCTATAGTGTTTTTACACACATTCCCAATGTTTGAGAGGGAGATTTTGAAATTTAAAAAAGACAGCCCTGTGGAGATCTTTTTCTGCAAATCCATACAGACCTTTTGATTTATCTTCAAATGCAAGTGGTTTCCTCTCCCCCCATGTGGCTCTGCCTGACTTTCACTACCCTTTTATAATTCCCCTAAACACCTCGCTCAGGTACAGCTCTTTCCTTGTTGACGGACTTCTGCCAGGAAGAAACAGCAAGGATCGTGCAGTCGGCAAGGGGTGGGGAAGCAGGTTCAGATATTCATCACTGGGGGAGAGCACCGAATCACAATATCAGCCATTGCTCTCACCTCCTCCTTCTAATCAGACTTACTGGGGGAGGAGCAGGACTGATGCTGACTATGAAGCTTACCTGCCTATGCAACCCACTTCAAGTCTCTCCTTGCAGCTAGTCTGGGTCAGATCTAATTTATTGTGATGTCCTGCCTTGCAGCAACTGAAAGATGATTGTGACAGCTGTAGACACTGCATCATCACTGCCACTTGCCCATGTATCTTGAACAAGGGCCCTCTGGGGTTAAACTGAAGGGCTAGGCACTGCAGATTGGATAGAAAAATCAGACTAAGGCTTGTCATTCATCTCTTTAAAAAGAAAACGGTAAGTTATTAGGTAATATAACATCATGGCTGTTTCAGGATGTAATCCCAAAAGTATGTGCCATACATTGAAAAGGAAGCTCGTACAAAAGATCAGAACCAAAATAACCCAAACGCCTTGTCAAGAAATTCTGTAGGTTGCTTCCCCGTTTCCAAGCTGATGTTCTAGGGAAGTGAAACTTTGCAGCAATTACCACATTCTGCCCTTTTTGTCCATTTGCATGAAGCTGTGGAGTATATGTGGATTTTAATGTACTTTGTGAGAGCACTTGTTTTTTGTGTGTGTGTTATATGAATAGGAACATAAGGTTCTTTTAAAAGTGGCCTGTGAAAGTGTTTAACTCATTGTGATGAATTTAAGTGCTTGTAGCGTTAATGACTTTAATGGTATTTAGAGCCTTGTGTTGTTTCATTGTAGTGATTCTATGGTTGGATTTATTTTTACTGTTTTGACTAGGTGTGGTGATTGTAAGCTGGCTGGATAGCTTAGCAAGTTAGGTTGGGAGTTTGATTCCCCACTCTGCCTCTCAGCAAAAGAGCCAGCCTGGGTGGCCTTGGGCAAGCTGCACAGTCTCAGGATGCTACCAGAAAAAGGGAATAGGGAAATACTTCTGAGTATTCTCTACCTAAAAGCACTGGGAAAGTGTGACCATAAGTCAGAATTGACTTACCAACATATTGTTGTTGTAAGCTGACTTGACAACTACATATCAGAGGAAAGACAGGGTACAAATGTAATAAGTAACAGTAATAGTAAAAATATGTGGCTACCAGCCTCCAGTGAACCATTACAGCTCTTTGCCTCTACACACTGCATCTGAGAAATGCTTTCAGAGGCTCACAGAAGGGCACTTTTGATGTCATGGCCATGGTGCAGTGTTTTGTTCACTCAAGAAAGAATGGACCTTTTCAATGCTCTGAGTATCTTTTTCCTGTTTTGCATATACATCCAATATGTGAAAGAGGGTCATGGTGGTGACTTTTCAAAATGGCTCTTTATTCTCAAATGTTCACTGCTTCTGAAAGACCATTCATCGAACGGCTGCAGAACAACACAAAACCAAACCAAACACCTAAAATATCCCGACTCTTGAGTGTATGTAGTTCATTTTTTCCAGTGCTGCTGTGGCTGAATTTCACCTCCTTTGACAATTTATTTGTTCTTTGTATTATTTTAGTATTGTTCAAATAGAGGAAGATCTGCTGAGAGGAGTGTTCAGGTATGTGGATTCAAAGAGTACTCAAGCTGAAGTTTAGGGAAGCAGAGGGAGGCCATGTTACCATTATTTGACATTATTGTCACTATTTTACTTAGGGAGTGCTATCATTTCCTTAAAAACGGACGAAATACAACATTGCTCTGCAAATCCAGGTACTGAAAATCAACGCAAGGCGAAAGACAATATCAAAGACAGATGCAACCTGACTTGACCTTGTATCTCCAAGGAAGAAACCATGGAAAAGTTTTTGCCTCTTTCGACAACAGAATATACCTCAGCTCACATTTTAAGTACTATTTATCTACTCTGATAAATTTCAGTAGAATGATTTTGCAATGTTCAAGCTGTTTTGGAAAGAGCTAAACAGCATAATCCTATGCATAAGGACATAGATGCCGACCCTGTTAATTTAAGTGGAATTTACTCTCAGGTGAAAGTGAAACTGATGCTATGCAATTGACATTAATGTGGTCAAATCTTCAGCCAACAGAATAAACAATGGACGTTTCAATCCCCTATATGCTTATCCGAGAATAGGGTTGCAACCTCCATTGTTTACCTCCATTAGGTTGTCTGAGGATCTGGCCTCCATTCATTCACCCATTTCATTCCCCCCCCCACTAAAATTTAGAAATAATTTAGAGTAATTTAGAATCTAAACTACAAAAGCCTCTCCATTCTCTCTTTTCTGTCCATCCCCAGCAGGAGGAAATACTGAAGCAGGGATGGCTTTGTACTTAACAAGATTCGGGGGGGGGGAGAGAGAGATGCAAGCAAGAACTTTTCTTGTTAGGCACACTTTTAGCAATTCATTTGGACAGTTGAGAAAGGAGTTTTGATGTGGATTGCTGTATATTCTAATGTTTCACACTTGTGTGGGATTTTTTTTTAATGAAAGTTTTTAAAATCAGTGATTTTTAAAATACTGTATTAGAATGACCAGAGTTTGTTGGTAGGTCCAGCCAGAGAAGACCTATTGAGCCAGGGGGATTTACCCAAGTGCTTACTTGCAAGGTATCCGGTGTACTGCAGGAGTATACTGGATACCTTGCAGTTGTGGCCAGGTATATATTGGAACCACAAAACGCAGCATCCACACCAGAATCAAAGAACATGAGAGACACTGAAGACTAAAACAACTGGAAAAATCAGCAGTAGCTGGGCATGCCCTGAAACAAGCTGGACATGAAATTCTATTCCAAAACTCAGAAGTACTGGACAACACCAGCAATCATTATGTTAGACTGCACAGGGAAGCCATTGAAATCCACAAGCACCAGCAGAGCTTCAACAAAAAAGAAGACAGGCTAAAACTCAACAAAGCCTGGCTCCCAGCACTGAAAAATACAGCCTGCAAAATGTCAATGAACTCTCCCCAGCCACAAGGACCAGTGCTCACTGCACACAAAAGACCAGCTAACGATACCCATAAATCACAGTGACAGATCATCTCTCCCCCCTTATCACAACAATACACCCATAAGAAAAACATGCTGATCACCATAATCACCCAATCTCCTGAAAAGGACAAAAGCTGATCCCACAGTTACAAATACTCAACTAACCCATAAAACTGCACCAGAGCACAGACAGAGTTCTGACTCCTGTCCTCTGAAAATGTCAGCCTCAGAGACTGGTGAAACGTTAGGAAGAAGAAGAAACTCCAGAACACAGCCAGACAGCCCAAAAAACCTACAACAACCATCAGATCCTGGCTGTGAAAGCCTTCAAGAATACATTGTTTACGTGTTCTTCAATTCAGTGAGTTGGATCTGGTTGGAATTGCAATATCGTTCCAGCTTTTTTCCCCCCATTGTTTTTAATAATCTTAGAACTGCAGAGCTGGAAGGGGCCATATGGATCATTAAGTCCAGCCCCTGTCAAAGAGGCACAGTGGGGAATTGAACTCCCAACTTCTGGCTCCACAGCCAGATACCTAAACCTTTGAGCTATCCTGCAGTTATGATGGTATCATGGCTACATAAGTGTGCAGCCATATATACTGTTTCTTAACTGCATGTGTAGTTTAATAATTTGTTAACTACATTGATTCCACATACTGGGGAAAAATGACATAGAAATGAAATTAATTAATTAATTAATGATAGTAACACACTATATCTAGTGGCAAGAAGCCTTTTATAATAACAGTAAACTCAGATTTTACTGGAAACAGCAACAGCAGAGAGATGTGATGTATATGTATCACCCTCCCTCCCTCCCTCCCTCCCTCCACCCATCCAATTTACACTACGTCCCTAAGTAGCTACATGCCAATACATTATAAAACAAGAAGCCAAAGATCAAGCATCTGATTGGCCACATTGTAAAAAAAATAAATAAATGCTGGAACAAATGGGTCTTTTAATCTTATCTAGCAAGACTGAAGTGT